AAAACTGTGGGAGCATGAAACTGTCCCAACCGATTGGAGCCGCTCCATCATAGTCCCAATTTTCAAAGGAGGCTCACGATCGGAATGCGGCAGTCATAGAGGAATCAGTCTGATCTCCATCGCCTCCAAATTGCTTGCCTCTGTCATCCTTCACAGACTGACTGGCACTCGTGAAAGCCAGATTCATGAAGAGCCAGCCTTGTTTCTTCGAGGTCGTGGTTGCATTGACCACATCTTCACTTTGCGTCAGTTGTTGGAGCACTGTCACACATATAGGCGGCACACCGTGTCGTGTTCCTCGATATCAAAGGTGCATTCGATTCGGTTGGTAGACGTGCACTTTGGGACTGTCTACTCAGGAAAGGTGTACCTGAGAAAAATGTGAATGTTATCCGAGCATTATATGCGCGTAGCTCGGGCAGAGTGAGGGCTTACGGCAAGTTGTCGTCGCCCTTTAATATCTCCAGCGGCGTGAGACAAGGATGCCCGCTGTCACCTTTCCTTATCAACTTCGCTATTGACGAAGTCATGGAAATCGCGTTCACAGGACACGACTTAGAAGGTGTGGATCTGCTCCCAGGAGAACGACTTCTTGACTTAGAGTATGCTGACGATATTGCCCTCATCTGTGACAGCTGTCAGATGTGCGAAGGGGCACTGAACCGATTAGCACTGGCTGTCCGTCACTTCGGGCTTTGCTTTGCACCATCGAAATGCAAAGCGTTCCTCCAAGATTGGTCTGGACCGCCTCCTACACTGACCGTTGGTTGGGATCAGCTAGAAGTCGTTCAAAAATTCAGCTACCTGGAAAGTTGTATCAGCACCGTGGGATTGAAGATTAGATCACGTTCCGTACAGCAAAAGCTCAAGGCGCTTTTACTAACCTTCACCACTTATGGCGCCGGTGCGACATCACTCTCGCACTGAAGGGTAGAGTGTACAATGCAGCGGAACCTTCGCCGCTACTGTACGGTTGTGAAACCTCGCCCCTCAGATCAGCGGAGATAGAGAGCCTCTTTATGTTCGACCACCGTTGTCTTCGTAATTTAGCTCACATCTGGTGGGAACACCGCGTGAGCAACGAGCGTGTTCGACGCCTTGTTTACGGTACAGGGAAAGGAAATGAACCGCTCAACACCGTTATTTCACACACCAAGCTCCGATGGCTCGGGCACGTGCTACGCATGCCAGCCCACCGACTCCCGCGACGTGCGTTGTTTGCGCGCCGGGGTTGTGGATAGAAGAGGAGACGTTCCTAAGCGATGACATGGTTCAGAGGAATGAAGGCCCTCACTTCGACGCTGGCCTCAGTTGGAGCGTCTCGGCTCCCTGGTTGGGGTCCGAAAGACGGTGAACACGTTTGTCTGGAGACTTGTTGATATGGCTAGGAGCCGACCTCAGTGGCGTTCGTGCTGTGAGTTTCTTTGTCCCACCCCATCCCTCTTAGTCTCCCTTTCCAATCACGATCTCGTTATATAACATTTATAATTTTGCATAGGAAATTTTTTGCTGCATAGTAGCCGGCAGATAGCTTACCGGAACGATGCCCATCCGTTACCGGTAGCTCAGCTGGCTTGCACCTGTAGCATTTTATTCCCTTCTTTTCTTTTAGGTATTGCGGCACAGTAGCTGAGGTATTTCCCACCTCTAGCTAAAGTGTATAGTGTGTATGGTACTTTACACGGACGGTGCGTTTTCCCAGGACTTATACCGGCTGCCCAGTTTACCTACGCAAAGTTGAGTCACAGGGGAATAACTTGGGCAATCTTTTAACTGGGGCGGCTCTGATTATGGTTATTGAGGCACTGTTATCAACTTCCATTTTAACCAGCTGGCCTTCTATTTTTCAGTTGCACAGCGTAGGATGGGTGAACGCTGCAGATGCTCGACGTTGCGTTCCAGATCGTGTTTAGCTGATCTTCGTCTGAAAACGACGACCTTCGCACGCTTCTTTGGAAAACGTGATGTCACGGCTATGCAAGCTTTAGATCGGCAAACTCGGACCAAATGTCCTAATTTTCCACATTGGTTGCAGATACTCTTTATGACGGCTGATAAATGCTGACTTCCACCTCGGTAACAGGTAAAAGGCAATTCGGATGTTCTCGGGGTACCATCTTTTCGGTCGAGTGCTTGGATTGTGTATGTATGATGTTGCGAGGAAAAAGCTGCTACCTCCAGCTGTCGAACAATATTGCAGGCCTCTCAGCTCATCGTCGTCTCATCTTCCGACAACAATTTTCACAAACCTGTTCGTTACGGATACTGGATATCAAGCAATGTAAAGTCATCACCCCTTCGAACTTCGTAACTGGAATTTCACTATACCGACACTAGTAGGACTTGATGAATCCGCACAATGAAATCAATGACACTTTCTTCAGGGTTTTGGCGCATGATCGATAACGAATACCGCGCAGTGTATGTGTTCAGTCGTGAACCCCATAACCCACTGAGGACTTCTAGCGCACTGTAGACTGTCTCCTCACCTACATGGAGGGCATCAAAATGTCTGGCCCTCATCCCCCAGAAATTGTCTCAATAATTTCATTTTGTGGCTCTCTGAGAGCACCGGGTAGTAGCTTCAAATAATCCAAAAAGATGTCCTTCCAGCGGTTCAAGGTTGCAGGTGTTGGTTTATCAGAAGGAATATTCCAAAGTAGTGTAGGAAGGTGCAACATTGCAGTAGTTTAACTCCTCGCCAGAATGTTAAATATTGCCCTTAGCCAATGCACGGAACAGAACGCGCACGCGTAGTATGGGACCGATTTACTGAAAGCATCCTGCGTTACAGTGGTTAGAAAATCCGGAAAGGAAAACCAATGAAATAATGGAAGTAAAGCAAGGTCATTCTCAACTAATCATATGAGGGCCTTTGTTTACGAATCGATACTCAAGTGCATACGTGACAGTATGCGTCCGCGCAATCAAAGTAAAACAATTCTTTGATGTTTTGTAGAGTTAGGCAGTTGGCTAGTTTACTAATGTGAGGGGACTGCGACGCATTACCTCCGAAGTTGCTTAGTTGTTTTTTATGCCCAAATGGAAACTGAACTTCAGGTGGCTTGGGGCAATCTATTCCATACCAGTGGGTATTTAAGCCTAAAAAAGTCATATCGGAGTCCAGTATGACAGCGGGGTGTATTTTTACAAAATCTTGGTTTCTCAGATTATGTGGCCAAAATTCTTGGAATTCCAGCTTGCAACAATTTGTATGCGTCTGTCAATGAACAATTTCGTAAAGCAGCTACAAATTTAGTTTCAACCTTCGAAGCTACAATGGCTCGAGATTTGCAAGGTTACATCTAGCTTTGTAAAATAAAGTGGATATGCAACGCACAAGTCTGTGCTTCAATTTCCAGTTTATCACATTTCCTTGTGTTTTGTAAAAGTGATTGTACAGTATTCTAGCATAGGTCGGGCATAAACTTTGAAAGTCAGGGGCTTAGCATCATTTATAAATAAACGGTTCCACATTATAATGGTTTGTTGTGCATTAGCGGCTATATGCTTAATTTGTTGTATAGGATTAAGCGTACGGGAGTAACGCAGACCAAAATCACATAGAATCACCTATGGGAGGTGAGAGATTGTGCAGTGTAAGATTTCCTAATGAAACATCATCCGTAATACATGATACTGGTCGTCCAGATGCTCATTGCGGAACTGAAGCACTATTCCAAACAGAAAGTCGTTTTGTATTTCAAAATAAAATTAGAGCTTTGTGGTTTCGTAGTATATACAATGTTTATATACCATCGGCCAACAGTCAAGGTTTACCGTTCATTTATGATGATGATTATGATTAGCAGGATAAGAAGAGGCCCGAGTGCGCTGCCTTGAACTTCACCACTACTAATGTTCTTTGTACCTGATGTGTGGTAGCTTATCCTGACTAGCCGCTTCCTACCAGTGAGATATGAATCTATCCAAGCCAACAGTGGACCTGTTATCCCACTGCTACAAAACCTCTGAATAATTACTTGGTGTGAAACTTCGTCAACTTATTAGTTACTATCCAGATGAACTACAAGACAAGCCTTACGCCGGAGTCAATCAAATACTCTAAATTTTCGAGGAACTCCAGCTCACATGGGATCCTTGAACATTTTTGGATAAAACAATACTGAGCCGCGGACAGAATGTGGTCCAGTGCTAAAAATTCAACGATTTCTTAACAATGCGTTCTATAATTAGGGAAATCAGGGAAGTGTGATTTATGAGTCCATAGTTTCTGATATCATGTCTTGACCCGGTTTTATATCGATCCGTTACTATTGTCAGCTTCCATTGCTCTCGATGGAGATCAGCTTCCTTTGATGTACTAAACAAATTCAGCAACAAGAACCGGATATCGTCACCTCCATACTTTGGACAGATGATACTTTTCCGATTTTCACCTTTCATACTCCCCTTCCTCTACGATTTGTTGCGGTTGCATTTTACTGTGTGAAACCGCTTAGCACTGAATCTTACCGAACCTTTTTGCGCCTGATGCATACCGTCCTCTCTGGTATAGATCGGCCAAATCGATCGTTAGGTATGAAGCAATGACACTTTCAATGTCACACTTCACACAGTTATTGTCTGTTTTCAGCGACACTGCTGGTTAGCCAGCACACTTCCAATTCGCCATGTGGATGGTAGCTTACACTAACCTTCGTCAAATGGAGCCTCGGTCTCCACTGACTAATGTTGCTCACCTCTGCTGTGGTCTCCATCACATTCTGTTTAATACCAGGGGGCATAACAAGTACTTTCAGTTTTACTAGCCCGCTGACTAACTTGTATCATTATGTTTTACCGCATAATTTCAGCCCTAACTGCTTTTTATCCCTGGGATAGGAATTTGATTTATAATCTTCATTAGTCTTATGTAGGTGACCCTTTGCCTAAAGTTTTTCTTTTAAAACATATTCCTGCTTAGGTTTGCAGCATTCTACATAGCCAACTTTATACATGCATACACTTGATTATCTGCTCGGTCTCCCTCCTTTTAGTGGTTCAGAGAGGACAACCTTGTATCCCGCCTTATCGAGCTATTCTCTCCAACGAATCCTTCCGAAGTAAGTCGGGCTTGTTGTGCTTGTTACCTTCGGCTACTCTACTGGCGTAGTGTAGTGGCTATTGCCTCGAGTAGCAGGTCTGATGTATTAGATCTGTTTAATAGACCTCACTTCAGTGCATTTGCCGACGGTTGAACAGCTCGACCATGATCCGTCCATGCCCAATGTTTGGGAATTGCTTGGCCACACATCCTGTTGTGCGAAAATCTGTTTTCGACGTTTTGCTTCCACTGCTTTGCACAAACTGTTGTCTCTTCCACTTTAATTCAACCTTCACACCGTTTCGGTTCGGTGTCATGCATTTTTCTAACCAACTCTGCTGAGTCTACTAAACTCCACCTTGCTTTAGGCTATTCACAACTCTTCGAACAATTGGGCCATTATCTGCATGGATGTCTAATCGGTTCGTTTACCACAGGGCACTTGCTTTCCGCACTTTTAAATATGGCACTATCTTCGTCATCTTTTCACACATTCAAACAACACTGCAGTCCTTCCTATGGTCTCACCCACAGAGCATACAACAAACCGCTTTCACTGTTCTACTGATTGTCCGTCACGAAAAGATATACCATTAATTCTCATATACATCCATTCTCCTTTTCTCCCCTGATAAAACAAACTATCAAAATACTCAAAACGGTGGATGTGTGACTAAACAAAACAGTGGCCCGTTTTGTCTTATTCCAGCCGTCTTTCTGCTCCGCCATGATTCCGGTAGCACAAGACCTGCACCATAGGTTTACTCAACGTCCTCACAAGGGACAGCTCTGGAGCACACATTGGAGATATTATAACCGTTGAATCCTAACGAATAATGGTCGCGTTTTTGTAATTATCTTGCAGCTTTTCTTACGAATACCCCCAGGCTATCACTGACAAGTTGTATTATTGACATCTTTGTCTCTATAACTTGTCATATGGGTATTGTGGTCAGCTATTGCAGTCTACGAATAGCCTAGAAAGCTGCACTGACAATCATGGACTTCTTTTTTAAATGAGCCTCTATGCCTGGTATGCATGTTCACATTGCCTCAATGGGTCTAATCAACTTCGTCATACTCAGGCTGACCTCATTACCGTCAACTGCAAAGGATGTGAATCTGTCAACTTTTGTTGACCCAGCTGTACCGCACAGCGTGGCTCACTACGCGAGAGCAGTTCTAATTCGTCACATCAGAACAAATCACCTGACTTTGAACTTCTCAGTCTGTCACTCGAACTCGGTCTACGATGCCAAATTCGCATTTTCAACTAGAATTTCAGTTGTTGCTGATTGGTCGTCCTACTTAGCGGAAGCTGGGATAACATTTTCAGTGTGTCATAAGACAGGACTCAGATTCACTCAAGCTGCTGAAATGCAAAACATACATTTTCGAAGCATGTCGCTTCTTTTACACTTTCATAAAGGTCCCAATCACTTTGCGGTTTCTAAATTATCACAACTTCCCGGAAATATTTTGGTAGTCTCATAGGACTGTTCGAATGCATCAACAACCCATGAGACACACCATTGTCGCTATAAATAGCTGGGCGGTGGTTTTACTTCTTCCGAAGTACTTGCTTGAAGAATAATCCTGGACACTAATTTCGGAACACTTCCGTCTATTCACTGTCGCTGGATCGTTTAAATTCACTTCCTACGTGATTGATTCTCACCATTGCCAAATGTGGGCAGCCTGGCGCTATGGAACTCAAGCGAAGTAATTTGCACTGATTACCCCTCGGTTGTTGTAGAATACCACTGAGGATTCACTGGTTAGTGTCCACTTTTGTCACTCGATCGCTTTGTGGTTACATAGGGTAATCTTCTGGCCGGGATTCTTCTTTCAGTATCAGTCACTTTAAGGGTCTGTAGTGCAGAAATCATCTTAGTCTCAGTTAGCTCAGTGTCGCCCTGATACGGTATTTCACCCTTTCCCTGGAATCAAAGAAAATCGAACTGATTTCAGTCTTGTTAGTTGATACGTTGCTCATTCCCTGATTCCTCGACAGTTGCTTAAGCATGGTCGCTCATTCAGATGACCCACTGTGACCAGCTAGAGTGCCATGGTCACTTTGGTTCAGTTCATCGTAGTTGATAGATTACCTGCTTGCGCCCTTTTATGGTGTGCCGCTGAAGTTTCATTCCGTATTGGTATCGTTGCAATTCCTTTCATTGGTAATTTAGGAGACAGCACGAATTATTTTCCTGAGTTTGCAACGACAGTAGGGTACGTTAGAGGTACCCCTTCCATCTCATTTCCCCTTTGCTGTCATAGATCCAACGAACATTTATGATAGCACCTGACCACTGTGGGCATCTACTTCATGCTAGGAATATTGAGCGATACATGTTTTTCATGATCGGGCCCAATCACTTATCCAAGTCTTTTGCATATTCAAACCGCCAGAATTGTTTCACAAGTAATTATGGTCTCTTGTGTTGCTCATTCCTGGTTATCATCCTTTCGACGAGGTTGGTGCTCAAGCCAGAGACTTGTGTAACATCAGTTTGACTGCACTTCGTCTGAGCGAATGAATTGACATCGCGGCTAGTGCACTTTGGTGGCAGTGTCAGATTTCTTATTTCTGCCCACCTGTACTCACTAAGCTTCGTCCACATCTGACATAACACTTATTGATTTCCATTAGGACCTCTAAGCTGTTGCCTGGAGATATTTCTTGGGGCTTCACTTGGTTCTCTACTAAACCATATAATTTCACATATCAAGTTGCGTTTTCCGCTCTTTCTTTGGTGTGTGGATACTTCACTTGATCACATTGGCGCTTCTGGTTGGCTAAATGGCGACATATCAAAGCAGCATGGGGCACTCTGATAAGCGCATCGAGGCCCATAACCGAACAAGACTAATCTTTTTACCCGTTGCTGCTTCCCCATATCCACACCGCATCCCATGCTGTACATTCAGTGGGTTCATTGCAGAATTTACACACAACCTATTAAGCAACGGGTGTATGCCATTAAATTCGCAGTTTACCAATGGGATCTCCTTCTGACTATCATAGGTGCACCGTCAGGTATTTCGTTTTCCTGTCTATCCATCCACAGGTGCATGAATCGGCCGCGCACTGTTTGGTGCAGCTCATCATCACGTTACGCAATTACATACACAACAATGCACCACCCAACCGCGAAGCGAATGCCACGTTTGACACTGGCTTGCCTCCAGCCAGTCCCTACGCCATGCTACTGGAGGACGATGGGACTTACAATGCTGCCGTCCGCCTGTTGGACGTGTTAGAAAGGTCAGCATAGCTTACTTCAAAGACCACTGAATATCGTTTGCTTTTTTTCAGTTTTGTTTACGTATGCCTTGATTTAGACAGTTTTCACATGTGTGTTGACTGCTTACACACCGTGCGTGTGGGCGACTGCTGCCCGGCACAATTTGGCTGACGAACGGATCAACATACTTGATTAGCAGAAACATTTGATTTCGGTACGGTTGAATTTGCTTCCAGTATCGATCAACTTGACCCAGAAATGGTATAGTTTGTTCTTTGCCGCCTGGTACTCACTTGCACACCTCATCGTTGCTGACAGGCTAGTACCACCTGAAATGCATAATGCTCCATGGTCAACTTTGGTGCTTGTGGTCTTTAAATCGCAGCTTTCACGCCTCGCTGCCGTGCAGGAGAACGATCCTCACATTTGTCCTAGAGATTGCCATCCTCCGTTTCTCAAATTCCATCCCGTTGTGATTACTATCACTCACAGGATGCTCGCGCCTGCACAAAGATTAAGTGGGTTGCATCACACCGCCCGCTGGTGCTCGGTGGTCTGAGGTTGCTTACGTACCCCCTGCGACTGATTGAGCAAGACTAGCTGGTGCCCCTCTGGTACCCACCTACGAGATTTTATCATGTACTCCTCTTCTTTTACGTGACAATTCTGTTTCCCAGGATAGACTGCGACTAAGTAACTCACCCTAATTTACTAGCTTGAACTGCTACTATACCTTGATCACTTGTCAAGCCATGTATCCTGCTTCACAATGCACCTTTCAGCTCTCAAATCCAACTAGCAGCATCGGCTTCGATTCTCTTCTCTGTATCATCAGTTGCGTGTTGTGTTTCTGACACATACAAGAAAGTGCCGTCTTCATCAGTCTATCTGACTCACAATTCAGTGATCACTAGCGCTTCGTGTATCTGGCGATGCCAAATCAATGTCGGATTTTTTACGGTTTGCATGTTACATCCAGTACGCATATTGAATTTATCCTTGCTCTCTGCATCCGGCATATCGTCGCGTTTTAGCGATTCGGTTTTGCGGTCTCAGAAGGACGTTTTTAATGCTTTAAAATCCACTTCCAGCAGCTCAAAAGCTTTGAACTACGTATTCCGTGGACAGCATACCATTGTTGTTACCGAAGCAGGTGACAGTGCCAAAGCAGATCTCCCATCGGATGGTTCTTTGAATTTCGTTTTGATCTCGGCGCTGTTCGTTCTGAGCTGGCTTCCTTTCATTGCGGATCAATGTGTCAGCAGCACAAACGTTCGCACAAGGTCACCGAGCTGAACACGGCATGCTGTCATGGATCTAACTTCGCCACGGGCCATCAGTGACAGCTATTTGCAATGTAATTAGCAGTTGCGATCCTACGTGTACATTAGTCACAGTTAACCCAGTTTTATATATTTAGCACTACTTTACCAAGCGAATTAAAATGATAGTTCTGCACCACAGCCACTTAAGCAGTCACGTGCAATGGTCAACAAGGCAGTCCACACGTAATGACAATGAAAGCTCACCAATTCTGACGTACTTCACGCCTGAACTGTGACGGTGTTGTGGCAGCTTTTGGGAACGGAATAACGTGCCATTTGTCGCCACACGTGATTCGTATCAGTTGAGCAGTGTAATTCGTCCGGCTCCTACTTGATTACTCCGGCTTTGATTTGTCCGCACTTAGCTGTATTGGTTCAAATTTGCAGTGCGTGCGTTTTCCGTGATGTTCTCTTCGTTCTGCGGCCTAATATATGAAGTACTGAAAATTAGTGCAACACATGTGGCTCATATTTTGAGCGGACATAAATGAACTTGTGAGTCGTGTGAAATTTACTGAGGTCGTCGAGTTCCCTCCGTGTGTCAGGTCCGCCGGCTCCACGAAACTGCTGACTACACGAAAGGCTGGTCCATGCAGCCTTATCACGATAACTGATCTTGGGCACTTCTGATTGCTTACTCGGCAGAATTAGACGATGCGGATAAATTACTTGCGTGGTTTTAATGCCCACCATATGTGCATTTCGTGTTACTCCAACAACTCTTCAGATATAAATCTGACGATGCTGCCAGTCTCCGCATAACTTAGTAGTTGATCGCCATGGAGCACGTGATAGCACGTGCTTTCTTCATCAGCAACATGGATTTGCGTTGCTGGTTGGTACAACCCTACGAATCAAAGCCCCTATGGCATCTTTGTAGTTTATATTCCTGCAGATCGCTCTAATCTACTGTCAGCTTTTCCCTGTTTAACGCTACATGCTCTCTAACATTTTCTTATTTCCCACAAACACACTTGATCTCCAATCCTGTTGAGTTTACACCCGCCCCCACATGTTTCACGCCAATGCGAGATTGCCAACCTCTTGGCTAGATAGCTTTTTGTGAAGTGCGCATTTGGAATCTATTTCGTAAACCATATCTGTAAGTTCTATTACTAATCTTCAGTTCATATTACACTAATTTGTCAATTAGAGTGGTCCCATTATTTTATATGTGCTTCACACCTTCATAGTGCCAACTGTGGCTGCAAGACCACCGGCTACTTGATGACCCCTTGACACTTGATAATGCGTAACTCGAGGTGCTTGATCGATTCACTTAGCTTGGCAGCTGTGTCAACAAAGATGGGCGCATAGAAACAGAAGTCTGTTCACGCATTGCAAAAGCCAGCACTGCCTTCTTGAACCTGCGGCATTTTGGCGACAGAAGGGAGTTTCCCTCCGTCTGAAAGGCCGTGTTTACAAGGCCACATTGACGGCCATCCTGCTCTATGAGAATTCGACTTGGCCTCTCCGGTCTGAAAATCGGAGGCGCCTTCAAATCTGCGGAGCGTTGCAGGTGTCGGATGGCACCAGCGTGTCCGCAGCAATGATCTGCGTAGGCGTATGTTAGTCAGTGATATTCAGCCTAGTTCCTTAGACTAACAGAGAGCAATAAATGAGTTGTGTTGGTTAAGGCATGTACTAGATATGCCTGGTCACCATTTACCTAGGAGGACATTACTTTGTTTATCTGATGGCGCAAGGCCCGAATTGCACAAAAGTTAACTTGGCAGCCGGAAATGAAGTCACTGACTACCAGACTGGGTGCCGTCAGTCCGTCTCGCCTTCCAGGCTGGAGTCCAATTCGATCGCATTTTGCTTGGCTCGAGACTGTACAAGACATGGCTCGCATTAGGCAACAGTGGTGCGTTCACTGCCGTCTCCTAGTCGGACTGCCTGTTTCAGGTTATTTGGTGTTGAGTTATCTTCGGGGTAATGGCTGCTTATGACGCGAGACAGTGAAAACCGCAAGGAAGCTGTCTCGCTAATGTCACTTTATCTTTGCACGATAGCCAGCTATTTGTGACAGTATGTTGTTGACAAAATGTAGACGTCTTAACCCTGAATGTTTGCTTAGGGCATTAAGGTTCTTCGGTAAGTCCCTCTTCTCTCCATCTTATTATTCTTTATTCCTTAGCTCATCATGGTTGCATGACATCGAAGCAAAAGTTCACATGGCTAATGTACAGGTGTTGTTGATGATTGATGATGAAATTGTCATCTGCCCTTTGAAGATTATGCCCTCACATTCTTTGATTCGTCGTGTCTTTATTTTTGCTTGCATAATTCGATTTCGTAAGCCGATAAGCCGCGTGAAGAAGTCGAGCACGTTCATTCAGCGAATATTTCGTAACGAAATCCATATCTGTCTGAACAAGCATAGCGCATACTGCATGCCAATCCTCACCTTGATGGTCTATCACTCATCTTATATGTTTTAGCGGTTGGCGAAATGCCAGGGTGATAGATATAAAGACGTTATCCTCAGATTTTTCTGCTTATTGCTGCCCTCGACCTAGAGCTGACGAAAAGAGCAATGCTTCTTTCACCTCCGACGTATTCCACAGCGGTTCACGGTGGCTTGTCTCTCAAGTCCTAGGCATCATTTTACCACGCTCACTTTTATCCCTGTCCTTTTTGCTTTTATCGCTTCACGTCTGTCACATATTTTATCACTTAGCTGACGGTTCCGCGGATGCTCAAACTTTGACGTGTTATAGACGCTTGCATTCAGTCTTTGGTGCTAAATATTATCACCACTCCCCACGGTAACAGCCTTCCTTTTCGCGACGCCATGAGCCACTGCCATGCTGCAAAGAAGCCGATCCATCTTTTAGACCTTAAGACAAAAATATTGGATTTCTTCTCTTCAGTAGGTGCTGCAGGGTATCATGCTTACCGCCTGTGCTAGTACTCTTCCTTGTCTTGAAGGCAACCTCTGCATCGTTTGACCATGCCCGTTTGGGGCGGTGCCTCACTCTGAAGGACGTGTCTGCGAATTCTCTCCCTATTACGAAGTCTCTATTCTACCCCTCTTGACCCTATAAGGGTCTACGGGAAACTATAACTCATCACGGCAAGTGGAATACCTTAGGGCTAGCTTGTCTCTCTGTTCCTCTTACATTACGAGACCGAAACGATCACGAACGATTCCATCCTGCCTTCCGCTTTGGTGATGAAAGTTCTGCTAGTTGACTAACTGTCAAAGTTATAGTGCTAGACAGTCTACTTCACTTTGTGTTGTACCCAGCCGCTGTTTTGACTCTACTGAAAAGGTGCGCTTCGACATGTACTTTGCTGATTCAAAGTGCTAGGCATGCTACAGGTCCCACATGTCCTCAGTATTCACCATCCTAGGGAAACCGCTCAATGTTATCAATCGTTTATTTGTTTGGTGTAGTTGTTTCACCTCTGGTATTTGCATTGCTAAGGAGCTTAACACACGCATTTCCAAGCTTCGTATGGCATTTAAAAGCTTCAGTCACTAATGGAAACGTCAAGATGTAAGTTTACTGATCAAGGGAACAGTGCGTAGCACTACAGTGCGCTCCGTGTCAGTGGGTGGATCAAGGACCTGGTCCTTACACCCTGATGGGATTAGAAGACTGACCGTGTTCGATCACCAATACCCTCAAAGTGTTGCTCATGTTTTCTGGGAGACCCGAATGAGTAACGCTTCAGTTTGTTGCCTG